GAGCCAATGAGATTTGCGCAAACAGTTGCGTATGCTTATCACAATTTGCAGACTCTCCGTTTGAACACCACCTCTTCTCAACAGTTGACCACAAAGGCTCAATTCGTCTTTGAAATAGTGTCCTCGTTTCGTTCATGTCAGCCTCTAATCGGCTCGTTTTCATTTCACTTCTGTCCTCCTCCCGTCCAGTCAGGCCAAAATAGCAAATGTTGCCTGTCATGCCAACCGAGCAGACAATTGTCTGATTGTTCCGGCTGAACTGTGCTCACTCAATCCACAGAATTGCTGGTCGGTTGACGGCGTCAGTGGACGCGACAACGACACCTTTGGTCAAAGGTGAAGAAAAAACTGGGTCAACTGAGCTTTAATGTGAAGCAGAGGGTGATTAGAAGTGATTCCACTTTTATGCCCTTTTAATGATAACATCGAGGCATTCTCAGCCCAACTGGAGTGGCCTTACTTCACAATTCAACTGCCCCCGGCCCAATACATACATACCACCCACCCACACACACACACACACACACACACACGCACACACACACCACACAGACACAAATATGATGTGCACAAGTGTCCAGTTGAAAGTAATGTTTTAAAGAGGCTTTAACGCATCGAATTGTAGAAGCTGTGTGAGGCCAGGCAATAAAGCCCAAACGGGCAAGTGTAGATGCAGATTAAATGGCGGAAAATAGGAGGCCATTGTGGGGAGAAGTTGGTCCAGGTCTGTTAGAACTTACAAGTAAACTCGCCTCCAACCAACAAGGTCATTATTGTTTGTCGACATTTTATAGCAGTCCGGATGGCGGCCAAATCGGACGGCATACGAGGCTGGTGGTGGCCTCTTTCCTCTCGGCTCGTCAGTCCCATCAGACTCCTGTCCGACGCCCAACTTCCCGACTGATCACAGCAAGAGTCCCGCCTCAATTTGGAAAAAGTCTCGATCTCTGTCGATTTGACTTCGGTAGGACAGCAACAACAAGCCGGCGACATGAAACTGCCGGTTGGCGTTTTTGTAAATCCTCAATTGGGGAATTTGACACTTCTTGAAGAGATTATTTTAGGACCAACCATTTTTCGAGACTATCAGCAATTTTTGCTTAATAATTCATTTATATTTCGTTTATAAGTCGGTTTATATATGAACTGTATTCATCCTATTTCGTTTAATGTGATAAGGGGACTGAGTTTCCCCTCCCCCCCAATCATATGGGACTTGCTTTCCCAAAAGGCTAGGATGAACTGCGGTTTCGGCCTTCATCGAACTAGTCGCATCTGCATTCATTGCGGGACTCGAACCAAGACAAATCAACCACTATGCCACATTTCCACGACTGTCCTCAGACCGCAGGGTAGATGCAAACTGCAAGGAAGACCAGGTGTTCCTTCCCATGTCGAA